CGGGGGCCGCCCCGCGCGGGGAGAAGGAAGCCGGACACCGGGTCTGTCTCTCCTCGGTGGGCCTGGGTGCTCCGGGGCCGGAGCGTGGGGAGGGAGGGCCTTCACGGCGAGGCCTCCTCCCCTCCTCCGTAAGTTTCGGAGAAGCCTTCCAACTGACCTGCACTCGGGGTGTTGGGGGGCCGGAAGTGACGTCACGGCCCAGGGTCTCCCCTCGCAGTCAGACGCGGCTGGCCAGGGCAGTGTGACCGGAACTGACGTCGGCACCAAGGCATCTGCGCTCCCGCGGCCGGCTCCGGGCGCAGAGCTGGCAGGGTGGCGCCTCCGCTGCCCCTGAGCCGGAGGTCACACTCCCCGGCATTCCCAACGCGAGAAACTGCTGTGAAAGGAAGAGTGGTCAGGCCTGGGGCCACACCTCCGATCCCAGCACACCGGAGGCTGCGGCAGGAGGATGGGCATGGCCACGGGTGTGCGGCAGTGTGTGGAGACCCAGGCACAGGTGGATGTAGACTCCTCCTGTGGACCGTTTCTGCTCATTCATAGCCACTTCCTGTGAGAAGCACAGTCAGGGGTGGATCGCCTTTGCCATTTCTCTGAGGTCCAAGCTGTTGGACTCTCGGCTGATGTCACTTGCCAGCTTCCTGCACGCTGGCCGAGCCCTCTGAAAGCCTGTGTCCAGGGGACTTGAGGCTAGGTGAGGCAGCCGTGTATCCCGCCCTGGAGCGCAGGCCTTGCTCCTGGACTGAGCCAGGAAAACTGGGCGTCCCCCCCCACCCCAGAAGCACCGGGGTTTTTTAGCTGAGAGTAGTTTAAAACTCGTGATTAATTTTTGTAATGAAAATTTAAATGTGACCTTGATTGAGGTGATTCAGCTCTGTTTGCAAATATAGCATTTTATACTGTCGAAAAAGCAATAAAGGGTTTTCCAGCAGTCCTGGAATCCAGCCTGGCCCTGATCGGCCACTTCCCCTGCCAGGGCGCGGCAGGGAGCTCTGCTCCTTAATCGGAAGCAGTGACGTTCACCCCTCTGGGATTTTAGATGTTCATTAAGTTATTAGCCAAATAGAACTGTAAAGGGCTTGTATTTATGGGTGTGTAGGAAGAAAACACAGTGTCCTGTTAGGGCAGGAAAAGAGGTTTATTTTGAAAATTAGAGCAGATAGCCGCTCTGTGTTTCCTGGACAGCTCTGAGAAACAAGGGTGAAGGCTGGGCCTGGACCCACAGCCGGCCTGCGTCCTTCTCCCTGGTCATCTCAGGTCAGAGCTCTGGGAACCATCTGTCGGCTGAGTCCTAGGGGCCGTGAGGATAATCAAGGAGCTCTGTCACCTTCCCGGGTCGTCACCACCTCTGGGCTTGTCACATGAAGGACACAAAAAGCAACATTGCTGGGACCACAGAGGACATCTGCGGTCCGCTGTCCCCTGCAGTCAGAGGAAGGAAGGGTGTTCTGTGGGAGAAGGTGACAGCTGCAGTGACCACGTCTGCCCTTGCAGAGAGAGGAGGAAGCTCACCCATGTCTTAAAGCCCTGCCAGGCGCTGGGGATTTAGCTCTGGTGTAGCCGCCTGCCTCATAAATGCAAGGTCCTGAGTTCGATCCCTGGTACAAAAAACAAAAAAACAACTGCCAGGAAACAGTTTTTGCTTTCCCTTTGCTACAAGTCAGTCCTAATTTCCCAGTTAGTATCTGAAGCAACTTTAACAGGAAAAAAGAAGTGAGAGAAATAGAGCAGCTCTGTTTTGTTCTGGGCCCAAACTGGATAGATGTGAGAAATCCCCACGTAGGAATGAAAGTTCATGTGTGCTTTGCTGTATGGTGAAATTATTTCCCTCTGTCTCTTCTATTATGACTCAGAATTACTATAAAATGATTGGAGGTATTGCAGCAATACAACTGCCCCCACGTGTAGGCTATTAAAGTGCTCTCCAATATAAAGATACTTGCTGTGTCTTGGGTGTTTTTGGATCAAGCACATGGTGTTTACGACCTAGGTTTTGAACTCTTAGAGCTCGCAATGTTTGAAGAACCGCGTGGGTGTTAGGGCTTAGATCTGAAAGTCTCCTGTGTCCTTGGGGGCTTTCAGAAGGTGATGGTTCATGGGCTCCGCGGTAGGATCCTCAGTGAGTGAATTCATTACCAATTTCATGGCTGAACCAGGCGGGGCCTGGTGGAGGTGGTCGCTGGGGTGTGGCCTGGAAGGGTGTCCTTGTCCGCAGTCCCTTCCCTTTCCTCTGCTTCCTGGCTGCCTTGGATTGAGCTGATGACCATGTCTGAAAGCTCCCTGTTCCAGTTGTGGGTGTCAGGTGTTTGGTTCCAGCACTGATCTGCAGTAATACGGGCCTGAGATTTTACCCCACCTACAGGCTAATACATTGTGCCAAGGTTTCATGGGTCTTGGCAGAAATGATAAGCCTTGTAGGTCGGGGAGAAAAGTCTGTTATTCCTCATAGCAGTAGCACAAGCCACACGGCCAGCCTTTGCCCTGGCTCCTGAGCCTTGATTCCACATGGTCCCCCAAGCAATACCTGCACGTGCTGTAGCTGCCCTACAAGGGGGACCTCACGCCTAGGACACCTTTGTCTCTTATTTTTTGAGACATGAGCTCACTACATAGTCCAGTGATGGAGTCCGCCCTAAGCGAGCTGCAGGGTCACACGCTGGCTTATTGTATTGTCTGATTCTGCCTGCCGGCCCACAGTGGTTGCCTGAAGAGCCAGCAGTTGTGTGGGACGGAAGAGCTCCCCACGCCACTGGTCACAGTGGAGGGCTCAATGATCTGTGACGCTGTGACATCTTGGATGGCAAGACACCAGTGCAGCTAAGGGCAATGTGACTTGTACGCAAACTTCTGTAGAGGCAAAAATTAATCTGTGGGGAAAAACAACTTTCCCATTCATCAGTGAGTTGTTTCCTGCAGAATGCCTCGTTCCCTTGTTGCTAGGACCCTGCTCATGTCAGCGCTTCCCACTCACCCTCCAAGGAGTTGTGTATTCAATAAATAGTGACAAGCTCCGCCTGGTGAGAGCTCTGACCACCCTGGGCCCCTCCCTCCCCATTTAACAAAAGATCTTGTCTTGTTATCCTGCTGCTGCACCCTTGGTCAGGTGATTGGGAGTCTGCGCAGCTTTCAATAGTCCAGGTTGGCCTTGAACTCATAAATCCTCCTGCCTTAGTCTCCAGAGAACTGGACCTGCAGGCGTGCACCACCACACACCTATAATGTAGCCCCGGAAACCCTTGCCTTGGGCACAGAACCTGCCTGACTTTTGCTCCAGAAAGAGACATCATCTGTCACCCGACTTTACCCACACATCTTTGGACAAATGTGCACAAACGTGAGACTCAGAGAATTGTCCGCAAACTGGCAATTTCCCTAATGTGGTCCCTAGCATGGGCACTTCAGGGTCCTGCTGCAGTGGTGGTCTTTGTGCCTTTCCCTGTTAGGATGTGCTGCTGTCCACCTTCTCTGAGTTATGATCAGGAATCGCACAGGCAAGGGTTCGACGTAGCCACCTGCACAGCAATGGGACCAGGTGAGTGGTGGGGAGATGCGGGGACACCTGCCCTTACTGCTCTGGCCTGGTGTTCAGCTTCAGTTCTCCTTGCTACCAGGTCTGGTACGCCAGGACACAGGAGAGCTGAAAGCAAGGGTGCTGAGGGTGTAGGAGCCTTACACCCTGTCCTCTCCCCCATCACCCCCAGGTACTTCACACTGAGCTCCACCCCTAGCCCTTTTTATTTCTTGAGACAGGGTCTCGGATAAGTTGCCCAGACTGGTCTCAAACCTGGAATCCTCCTACCTGAGCCTCCCAGATTACACCACACCTGGCTGATTTTTTTCAGTGATGAGAGCAGTAAGCTGATTTTTTCAAGCATGGGCACCTATTCTCCAATGGCCTTGATGTGCTGAGGGATGAAAGTGAAGCCCAGGGAAAAGGTGGGCTGGGGCCTTGGTACCTGGGGAAACCTGAACAGGCAGGTGTGCTGGTTTCTGATGAAAATGCTCCTGCTGAGGCTAACTTCTGTTTCCAACATGGTGTCCTGGAATGTGGAGTTGGAAGGCAGCCGCCTGGTTATGAGCAAATGCAAGCTAACCTTGGGCACTTTGTCCATTTTGGGCTGAAATGGTGGGACACTGGGTCTGGTTCCACGTTTCACCATGGAAACTGCAGCAGCAGTAGCAGCACTGTGTGCTCACCAGGTAGCAGGCTTTGCCCTGACCTGTGGTCTCCAGCACCCCTCATTCCCTAGATAGCAGAGACAGAGAACGAACTCTAACAGTGGGGGCTCAGGAAACAGCAGGCCCGGGGGTCCACCAGGCAGCTGTATCCAGAGTCCGTGTCTGGCCGCAGTCAGGAAAACTCTTGGGGCTAAGGAGCCAGCTACTGCTGCCATCTACGACAGCTCTGGGGAATGGGTCTGTTGCACACGGAGGTCACAGCAGCCACAAGGTCCCTGGCCCTGGCCCGCTTGGCTGGCAGCTGTATCACCCTGACTCTGCGTCCTTGTCCCACCTCCTCTCCACCCTCCTCCTCAGGTCCTCCAGGGCTCCACTGGGCTCACATGGTTAATCCAGGACAGTCTGGTGATCCTTCACCTGAAAACCTTTCACCTAGCAGATTGGGTTCTGGGGACTGGGACACAGACATTGTGTGGGGAGGGCACCTGGCCCACAGCAGACACCAACAGGAAACGCATGGGTGGAAAAGAATCCTTGGAATATTAGATACCTGCTCTTCATGGATTGCTAAAGATGGGCTTTGTATTTTCCCTGGATTGAAGACAAAAGTGCACAACACATAAATATGGTTGGAGTCAGGGTGTATAAAGAGCCAGGTGCACAATTATAAGAAGGGGCTACTTGGGAGGCTGAGGCAGGAGGATCACATTTCAGCCCACCTTGGGCAACTGAATGAGAACCTATATCAAAATAAAAAGGGCTGGGGACGTAGCTCTGTGGCCCGGGTTGAATCCACAGTTTTGCCTGAAACAAAATGACAAAACTGGATATCCCGTGGGAGGAAAAAAGCCAGACATCTGGGCCAGAAGGTGGCAGGCATGTGATGGCCTGAGGTGTGTGACGCTCACAGAGCCCTGGTGGTGTGGATGGCGCAGCTATGTAAGGCAGCCCGAGGCACAGCCCCGCTGTGCCATAGGCCTCAAGGACAGGTGGCTGTGGGCACAGCAGGCCGATGGGGTAGAAAACGAGGGAACCGAGTCTGGGCCGCAACACAGGCTGCACAAGATGGGGATCAGAAGCCCGGGAGTGGGAGCTGGGGGGACCAGCTGCAGTCACCTGCATGGAAAAACCTGCTGCCTGTGCCTGCCTGTCTGTCCATGCCCCATGGAGGCCCTGGCGGGCAGGCTGTATTCATGTGAGGAACCTATCAGGAACGTTAAGCTGAAGATTTCAATTTCTGTCTCCCATCCCTGCTGATTTCTTGCCCTGAACATGCTTTCCTTGGAATCAGATTATGGGGTGGCCCCCAAAGACCCCTGAAAGATGCCCGTTCCTCTTTGGGTTTCTTTCCACCTCCCTCAGGGCCGGTGAAGACAGTCAGCCCGCATCTCATTCTCACTGCATGTGACGTGTTTAAGGAGTAGGCAGACGCTGTCTGCAGGCGGCTGCTCTTCAGCCAGGAGAATTCTCCTCCTCTTAAAGCCTATGAGGCAGCCTGCGGCTGGAGCCCCCATTTAATTACAGGGAAGGAAGTGGCCAAGAGCCTGAGCCAGGAAGTAGGAGCGTCCTCGGGACAGAAATGAGGCTCTGACGGCAGCCCCTTGGCAGGACGGAGCAGCACATGACCACTACCCACGCAGATGGCACCGGCCCGGCACCCTGGGCCACGATGTGGCCCTGGACAGGCGGCTGTGGAGTCCAGAATCCACAGTCTTCACACCAGCTTCACCAAACACTGCTCCATGACCTTTAGCAAACTTAGTTCCCTCTTCTGTGAAAACGGGGATAGCCACTGAACTGATTTAAGGAGGGTGTTGCAAGGGCTGACTGAGTTCTTCCCAAGAGAAGGCGTGGAGTACCTGGCATGAAGCAGCTGTTCAGAAAGTGTGATGAGTTTTAACACTTTATCCCTCTTTACACGAACGCGATCGACAAAATAAATCCTAAGTGAACAAAAAAGCCAAGTGATTCAAAAATATAAACTGTAAAATAAATTTGTAAATTTGAGCCAAATGTATATGCCCATGATCCCAGCACTCTGGAGGCCGAGGCAGGAGGACTGCCACAAGTGCAAGGTCAGCCTGGCTACACAGCGAGACCCTGTCTCAAAAGATCCAAGTCAAATTTGCAAGAACAAATCCAAATACATCAAGAAAAAATAATATATCAAGAAACAAATGTTAAGTAAGTTCTATTTTTCAACAATGAAAACTGCAAAGAAATTAAAATGTCCATGAGTGGACCTTAAATATGTGCATCTGGCATATTTTTATGTATTTCCACATCTAGAAATATATAAAATGCAAATAATTCAACACATTTTAAAAAAACTGTTAAAACTGCTAAGGACCCACATTCCCAACATGAGAGTTATGCTTAAAATATCAATTCTTTGATGGTACATCTTCAAAGAATATTTAATGACCTTAAACTGCATCCAAAAAGCTAAGAGACAAAATGACAGGCTAAACCCACTTAGGAAAATGCATGTATAGGAAAGGCCACACATTAAAGGCTGAGTGTGATGGCGCAGTTTGTAACTCCCAGCTTCTCTCAAAGCTGAGGCAGGATGGTTATAACCCGGCCTGGGCAACTTAGTGAAACTGTCTTAAAAAGAAAAAAATCCTTAAGTGTTGGGGATATTGCTTAGTGGTCCCAGGGTTCTGTTCCTAGTACTGCAAACAACAAATCCAAAAAATGCTATTATGGGCTGGGATGGAACTCAGTGGTAGAGGCCTTGGGGTCAAAATGTTAATAGCAGTGATCCTGGGGTGAGAATGCGTTTTGTTTCTTGGTGCTGGGGATTGAATTCACTTTGCTAAGTCAGGCACGCTACCACTGAGCTACACAGTGTGACCCAACAACACAGAAAATGCTTTTTAAAAAAAAATGTATTATAGTAAAAGACGACATTGCTACGAATCTCAGAATGCTCTCCTTGGTTTTGAACACATTCCTGTTCTTTCCACTCGGTGCAGCAGCTCAGGAGTCCTCTTTCCCGACTGTCTTTAGGGCTGTCCCGGCTGCCTCGGGTCCTGATTGGCTTCAAAACGTTGACCTTGCATGGTCATTTCGACTTTGGGGAAGAGCCAGAGTCACAGTGCTAGATCTGGTCGGTGAGGACACGGTGACGTCTTTACGAGCTGCCTTTCCGTTGGATGGCGCTCGGCAGCAGCAGTCACCCTATTTTTCTTAATCACACCTGGTAAAGATACTCAGGAAGGAGGACTCCTGGAATTGCTTCAGAAAGTGGCAAAAAGGATGGGATGTGTTCAGGAGATTACCTTGCCAGGGATTAATGGCAATGTCTTTCTGTAGTAAGCTTAAAAAAACATAAAAAAAAAATTTATCGTATTTTGAGCCATGTGTTACACCTGGTAAAGATACTCAGGAAGGAGGACTCCTGGAATTGCTTCAGAAAGTGGCAAAAAGGATGGGATGTGTTCAGGAGATTACCTTGCCAGGGATTAATGGCAATGTCTTTCTGTAGTAAGCTTAAAAAAACATAAAAAAAAAAATTTATCGTATTTTGTCAGCCATGTGTGTATACCGCCGAGCCCTTGCTTTATTTCTATTCCCTATAATTTTCCGTTATTAACAAATTTTCCTCAATTGATCCCTGATTGCGATGACTCAGTAAATCCCAGGGCTCGAGTTTCCTTTCTGCTGTAGCCGTCCTGGGGCACCGCGGGGGTGCAGCCGGGAATCTAAAAATGAAGGGCGACGCACTGTATTATTTGAGGGTCTCCACTGATGTTGTAAGCTTTCCCGATGGCTTTGGGGGGGGCCAGGTTGGCTTCTGGGCTGCGACCCCAAGCCGCCAGCACCACACCCCTTCATCCTGGTAAACCGAGGCAGCGCCGCTTCTCACGTAGATAAGCGAGCTTGGGGGACGCGGGGGTCCAAGGACTATAACTGTGCTTCTCCCTACCAGGCCACAGGTACGGGCCCTCGTGGGTATCATTAACCACAGTTCCCTTAGCAATTTGCAGGACACTTGAAACGACACTAAAGTTCCAATAGTGCGAGTCAGTATCAAAATTCAAGGAACTTGACTTTCAGGATCTGTACCGTAATCCTTCCCAAGGAAGCCGTACGCCAAGCGTCAGTGTGGCAAAAGGACACACTTCGAGCCAGCCAGGAGTCGAACCTAGAATCTTCTGATCCGTAGTCAGACGCGTTATCCATTGCGCCACTGGCCCTGCGTTGGACGATCCTGCACCGCGATGGCTGTTCGCTTCTGACGCAGTTTCACCCGCCAGCACTCCGCCCCTCCTAGCTCTGGCGCCGCGGCGCCTGCGCACAGCTCTAGGGAGCCAGCCTCTTCCTAGTTCAACGCGCTCCACCAATCCGCGGCGGGTGCGTCACGACGTTCTTCGACGTTCTCTCACTCGTCGCGTCGGAAGACGTTTCTCGCCTGCTTTACCTTAACGCACTAGTTTGTCCTTCGCTGCCTCCCGTTCGCGCCTGTCGTTCCCGCGGGGCCGAGAGACTGGTGGGAAGACCCGGAGCTGCAGCGGCCGAGGCAGGGTGACCGGTAGCGCCGTAACCAAGGTGGCGGTGCGGGCTAAGGCACTGGGAACCGAGAGGCAAGAGGTGGAGGTGCTGCAGGATGGCGGCGACGACGTACGAGCGGCTGCAGCTGTGAGTACCGCGCGCGGGCCGGGCCTGAGGGGCGGCGGGCGGGAGCCCTTGGT